ACATTGGAATTTGGGTATTTATCTCTGTCTTCTCCATTCGGGTTATTTTCTTCGAGGTAGGGATTTCCTACTCCATCTTATAAGTTTTGTTCTAAGTTTTAGTATTTTGATATGTTGGGGGTACTTTGGTAATTTTGGGAAAAACCCTAGTTGTATTAATAAATTAATTTGTATAATTAATTTAAGGAAATTGGGGAAATTAGTTAAATTCGTGAAATTGAGGAATTCATTGATTAAATGGTGTAGTTGGATAATTAAAATCACTCGCCTATTGAATTGTTGATATAGTTATTTCCAAGTCTAGAAATAACTGTTTGGGCTATCGGTGGAGGATAGTCGTGATTGTTGTAGACAATGCATGTGGATTAGGTATAACTGAAACTAATCACATTAGTTGAGTCACTAATTTTGACTGTTGAATTAATACAGACAATATGTGTATTGATTGAGTGTTGTATGTGTTATGTGTTTACATACATTGTTTTGTGTGGGAGGAGATAGGGGATGTACTCCACGGTTTAGGGGAAGATAGGGGATGGACCTCTAAACCGGATTTTGTTTGGGAGGAGATAGGGGATGGACTCCATTAGCACCACTATTATGTGTGCTTATTATATTGAAGTGTTTTTACATGATTATTGATACAACACTAAAATGTGTATCAAACAGGAAGTATGAAGTGGTTTGATTTGAGCCTGAGTCTCAATTGTTTGTTGACATTGGAAGAATGTGAATATGATATATATATAGTTCACTGTTGTAAGTTTGGCCAGTCTGAGCCATATTGAAAATGTTGGAAAGTAAAACGTATTTTAGACATTAGTGTCATGAGACTGTATAATGATGTAATTGATTATCTTGGTTAACCACTATTAAATACTAATGCTTTATTCAATGCTTATATTGGTTTAGTATATTTCTACTGGGCTGTGGCTCACCCTTTATGGGAACATCATTTTCAGGTCCAGGTGATAAGCTACCTCCCAGGGCTTAGCTTGGAAGGATTTGGATTTTGAAGACTATCTTAGTTGTTTGTTTTTATTTGAATAATAATCAAGCCTAGGGCTTTATTTGTGTTTGAGTTAGAACTCATATTTTTGTGTCCAAGTGTTGGCTTGGAAAGATGTAAGCCCATAGGGCATTTAATTTGATGTTACATGTAATGTCTTTATTTAGTAATACTCTGATGAATGAATTAATAAATTGTTTTCTTTAAATAATACATGTTGATGATATACATATAATGGGTTTATTTTGAGGGCGTTACATTTTAAATCCCTTATTTTAAATCCATACTTTTGTTTGCTCTTTTATGATTTTAAGCCCAAGTGACCCATATGAGCCTCAAATAGGCCTTAGGCCTACGTCACCATTTTTAGAGTTCAGCTGTTTTTATTCTTGCCATAGTATCATACAGTTATTTTTGGGGAAATGATTCACAATAATCCTGGTAGATACATTAATGGAGTTCTCACTACAACATTTTCTTAGTTTGGTGACATTTGAAAATGCCACAAAACTATTATTCTAATGACATTTTTTAGTCTTGTGGCATTTTAAACAAGTGCCATTTATACCCGTGCCACGGTAGATACTAGTGGCACCTTAGTGACACTTGCAAGTGCCACTACACCATCATGGCTAAAGACTTTCAATGACACTTTGATGTCATGATAGACATTATTTGTGACACTATCAAGCGCCATTAAAAAAAGATTTAGTCGCAATTTAGTGACACTTGCTAGTGCCATTACACCATCAAGGCTAAAGACTTTCAGTGACACTTTAATGTCATGGTAGACACTATTCGTGATGCTATCAAGTGCCATTAAAGAATGAAAAACCTAAGTGATTCATGATTCGACTTAAGATTAATTGTACCAGTTCCCAAACAATTAAAACTAACAATCTAAATCATCAAGCACGTACGAAAGTGATTTAGATTATTGTTTCAAAAAATAATAAATTGACACAAACGATTTTTACATGAAAAACCCACAATTGGAGCACCTCCAATTGTGATTAAAAACCAACGGGCGAAATGCCACAAACCAATCCACTATGAAGGAAAGAAAGAATACAAAACAACCAAACAAATTAACCAAACTCTGTTAATTTTTCTTCAATGATTTGTATCTCTTCTACTGCAACCTTCATCTCAGAATTGATTAGATTGATGTTGATTCCACAACATCCACGTCGACTCAACGAATGCGCATAGCTTCGAACACCTTCGAACACTCCATGCTTGAATCTCTGGATTCCACTGAAGAATAACACTCTTGAAGATGATCACTCAAACAACCCTTTGATGTGAATTGTCAAGCCATGTGAGTTTGAAACTCAAGCAAACATCAAAGGAAAACTAGTAAAATAGTCCCAAAAGAAAACCCTAGAGCCCTTAAAACAGTTCTGGAAAACTTAACCTTAAAACTGACTTAAACAAATACTTATAGAAAACAGGGGCCGCGAAGGTCGCTTGAGCGAAGACTCTCTCGCTTGAGCGAGGAACCAAATACGCGTGTATTCCTTAAGTGGTGTCGCTCGAGCCAAGCTTCCTTCACTCTAGTGCATAATCTTTTTTCCCAGAAAATTTGCAGACAAAAAAAACTTCTCGGAGCACAACTTCTTCGCTCAAGCTAGGGCTCCTTCACTCGAGCGAGCAAGGCAAAACAACCAGGAAACTTACAACTCGATAAACAATGTTTGTTCGTGGGATTGACAAAACTAAGGGACCCAACAAAGAAGACTAACATTCTAAAAAAATGCCACTATATGGATTTTTCATGGCGCTTGTTATGTCACAATTGATATTTTTAACAACTTCATAAATGTCACTAAATCTAATGCATTTGTGCCATTAAATGGATATTAGTGCCATTGGAGCTTATTCTAGTGACACTTTGCAAAGCTACTACCACTACTACGAAATTCCACTTATATGTTCTTTTCATTGACACTTTTAAAAGCCACAACTAAGTATGCGTAAATGCCTGTAAAAATTGAATCGATTTTATAAAAAATTGAATATTAATTGCCATATCTTACATTAATTTGACATCCATTCATCCTATAATATTTTCATAATAATAAACAAAGATTAACACCATAGGATCATCACATTAAAAAAAAAAAAAAAAAAAATTCAAACCACAATCATTTTTTATCTAAAAATATAAATTTATTTGTATTGCAATACAAATTGTAAGAAAAATTATAAAATATTCTACCACACTAACAAAGTTAAAGCAAAAAAAAAAAAAATTTAAAGAAAATTATACCAACCATAAGTTTTGAAAAGCCATAGTGATATCCATCTTCCGGAGAGACAAATTATCAAAACAAATTCAGTTTCCAAATTCCCAACCTCACTTGTATGAATATTCTCAGTTAACATCCATAGCTTGCAAAATCTGCATCCAAAAGATAAACATATAAAGGTAATTGAAACTATATTAAGTTAATATAAATTTGTTAATGAAATTAGTATTTACGAAAGAAATATACCACAAATGGAGTTCCGGAGAGACAAATTATCAAAACAAATTCAGTTTCCAAATTCCCAACCTCACTTGTATGAATATTCTCGGCTAACATCCATAGCTTGCGAAATCTGCATCCAAAAGATAAACATATAAAGGTAATTGAAACTATATTAAGTTAATATAAATTTGTTAATGAAATTAGTATTTACGAAAGAAATATACCACAAATGGAGTAGGCCAAGCAACATGAGCTCCAATAGCTAGTCCAATTGTTTTGACATGTCCATATGATCAGATCAAGCTCTCATTAGGTTTGACTGGCACTTGAACACGTTCCTCCCAATGGTCAGGTCCTAGTTCTTCCCCTTCTATTTCTTTAGCTAGGTCTATGCTTTTAAGTACTCCAATTGCAATTGTTTCTGTTGGCCTAATGATACTTTTTAGAACAACTATATCTCCTACTTGTAAATCAAGATTTAACTACTTAAGTAATTATCTATATAACAATGGAAGGCTTGGTTTGAATTCAAGGGCTCAAAATGTATGTGTCAACATATGGACCATTAGATTGATTCAATCCAATGGTTGAAAATGTCTTACTCTCATTTGTCGTATTTGGACATTTTGATGGTTGAGATAAATTACCATCAAGATCTAATGGTGCAAAATGTAAGTTCCAAAATATCTCAAAATGTATGTCTCACACCTACTCCTCTCATCTCAAAATCTGTCTCTTTTCCAAATTTCAAAATTTGAATAGACCCCCTCTTTCTCTCCCTATCTCTCTCTCTCTCTCTCTCTCTCTCTCTCTCTCTCTCTCTCTCTCCATCAGAGCCCATTCCCATGCTCTTCTTCAATTCCTATCGGAGCCCAACAATTGCCGGAGACACAACCCCGAACCCCCTTTTAGCCTCTTCATCTTCTCTCTTCCTCCCTCTCTCTCTCCTCCATCCCAATCTTCATCAACAATGGCAACGACGACCGAATGAATGGAGCCACTGCAAAATGAAGAATCTAAGGAAGAATCTGGTATATTTGACCCATCATGGTATATTTCCAACAAGAGAGCAAACTAGAAATTGGTAGATCTAAATGCATTATCTAACCATTCTTTACTCTGTTTATAAATAATAAAAAGTTGTGGAGTTCAACCATTCTTTACTCTGTTTATGAATTAGGTTCACCGAGATACCTGATTATAAAATATATATAAAAAAAAAATTTGTGGAATTCTACCATTGTTTACTCTATTTATGAATTAAGTTTACATGACATTCGCTGGATTTATTCCTTACCTAAAGTTGTATCTGAGCTTCTGATTTCTATTTAAGAGAAGATTGGATCACAGGGTTGTTATGATTCTTGGCCATGTGATGCTTCATCAAATACCTGATAATTATCCAGTTATCTAGACTTTGATTCGACTTGATCTTATGAATTTTGATACTCTGGTTTGATGTCATGTAGCCTAATTTTTTATAGTTTGTTTGGTTCCTATAGGAGGTAGATCCATCCATGGAGAATGAAAAGGCTCTTGGCACAGATGGAATGGATGGTTTTTTGTCCGATCTAGCTAATGCAATTCTTGGAATTGACGAGGCTACGAGCTTTGCGGAGATGCTCAAGTAAGTAACCATGTTTCATTTGATTTGGTAGCTCTATAAACAGCAAATCTCTCAGGTCTCAATCATTTGTTTCATATTTAGATCTGGATTGAATGGTATATTAACAATGCATATAAGGTGTTTGAAAAAATGCATGTGAGAGATAGAAATTGGTAGTGGTGGCTATTGGGGTGGTGGGTTTTAATTGGTTCTGGAAGGTGTAATTTGGTCAATTAATTTTTTACTTATTGTTTAAAAGTACTAAAATAAACTTCAAAGGATAAAAATTTTATTTTTATTTAAACTTTGACGACATTATTAATTTTCTTGCATTTATCTAATATTGATTAACATAAGATTGAAAGTTTAAAAAAATCATGTTGTCCCTTATCAATGTTTGGATTTTTAGGTATTTGGACATGGAATTGAAGAGTTACGCTTTGAGATTGATACATGTTTAGGAATCTATTATGTTTTTCCTATATATAATACAAATATTACAAATAGCCAAATAATTTTTAGAAATAAAGAGATTGGACCAACCTTATCAACCATGACATTTGACAGTGATCACTTACCAATCATCCTTTCCTTCTTTAACTCCAATGACACAAACCAAGTCAAAGAAAACAATCTCAAAAGAAAGAAAATAAAATTGTATGGGCAAATTACACATACCTCACTTGACAATTATCCTTTCACCTTTTTTCCTTTGTTGTTTTATGATTGATTTTGAGAGAAATTGTGTTTGATGAAATGGTTGAGAGTTACACTGTGTAATATGTTCTTTTGATCAGTTATTACTAGGGTATGTCCGTGCTTGAAGGCACGATGAAAATATTATTGGAATGAAAATGTAATTGGAATGATTTTATGATTTTAAACAAACAATAAAATGTAAGCCCCACAACACAGAAACATATAATAAAATAAACTTTGAAGGATAAAATTTTTATTTTGCCAGCCAATGCATATAAAATGTTTGAAAAAATGCATGTGAGAGATAGAAATTGTTAGTGGTGGCTATTGGGGTGGTGGGTTTTAACTGGTTCTGGAAAGTGCAATTTGGTCAATTAATTTTGTATTTATTGTTTAAAAGTACTAAAGTAAACTTTGAACGATAAAATTTTATTTTGATTTAAACTTTGATGACATTATTAATTTTTTTTTACATTTATCTAATATTTATTAACATAAGATTGTAAGTGTACTATAATTAAGCTTTTAGCAAAATTTGTTATAATGTTTTATATCAATCGTCTTCTTTTTTTTTTTTTAATTACAAGCAAAGGTCCATAAAATATCAAAAAATGGTTCTTTCTATTTGGGACACCATGTGACACATCATAAACCAATCACAAATCATCATGCCTTTTGTTGTCCCTTATCACCTAACAAAAAAATCATGGGTTCTACCTTCTCTACTAAGCCATGCAATAACACGTGGTTGTGCCGCTGACACACGAGACAACTGTTCTAAAATATCCTTAAATTGTTTTGACTATCTTAATGTGTCATTGAAATGACAATCAATGGTTGGACCTAGGATGAAACCTCTTACCCCACAAGCTATATCAAAAAGAAATTGCATAGTAAAAAAAATTACATGTGTGAATGTTTTTATACATAGGAAAACATAATAGACTTGTATTATACATAGTTTGTTATCCTTACTATTCAAGATTTTAGCATTCCCACGCGTAAATAGTTTGCATTGCCTCTTAGCTTTTGTCGCCAATAGTTTGTTTGGATTTTATTGAGTGTCAACTCTTTTTTGGTTAGTGCTTTGATTGGTTATTGTTTGGATGCAATATAAGATTGCTCTAAATCATAAAACAAGGTGCCTGATTTGTGCAAATTGGTCATCAGGTCATATTAAATTAGAACATATTTAATAGAAGCTGTGTTTGGATTTTTAGGTGTTTGGACAATTGGACTATGGATTTTATCAATTGCATATGACTAAAAACCCCCTTGATTCCAAAACAAGGGTGAAAGGATTTTTTTTTTGGTGCTTGAAACTTGGATTTGTAGAGTGATTTGTGGAGGGAAAAAGAAGTGATTGCAATTATGAATGAAAGCTAAGAGTTTTTTTGTGGCCCTTTCCTTCAATAAAATTTTTTCCTTGAAATATTTAGTTTACTAGGGTGTGTCCGTGTCTGAAGGCACGGTGAAAATATTATTGGAATGAAAATGTAATTGGAATGATTTTATGATTTTAAGCAAACAATAGAATATAAGTCCCACAACACAAACATATAATAAAAATCAAACGAAAAACGCCAGTCAGTGCTCTGCAATAGAAAAAAATGAACAATAAATTAAGCACACCAGTCAGTGCTCAGCAATATAAAGAAAATGCCAAATAACAAATTAAGCACATCAACCAATATTATTGGATACAAAAAAAGGACAAAAAACAAATTAAGCAGGCCAATTAGTGCTCCACAATAGAAAAAAATGACAAATTAAGCACACCAGCCGTACGTTGCAATTCAAAAAAAAAATGATAAAAAATTGTGCAATAAACAATTATTTTAAAAGATTAATACGTACACAATCCAATCCTATATTAAAACCAACACCCTTCCTGATAAAAATATATATGGAAGCAAAAAATCAAATTCAACCGAAAAAAAATATGAAGTTTTCTTTAAGCTAATTCAAGAGCATATTAGGAAGGAAAAAGAAAAAAGAAAAAAAGACTATAACACCAAGTGAATAATTCAAATGTATATTATACAACATACATCTAAACTTAGTTATAAATTGCACGTAGATAGGTTCTTTTTTCCTTTTCTTGGTGTTATAGTCTTTTTTTCTTTTTTCTTTTTCCTTCCTAATATGCTCTTGAATTAGCTTAAAGAAAACTTCATATATTTTTTTCGGTTGAATTTGATTTTTTGCTTCCATATATATTTTTATCAAGAATGGTGTTGCTTTTAATATAGGATTGGATTGTGTACGTATTAATCTTTTAAAATAATTGTTTATTGCACAATTTTTTATCATTTTTTTTTTGAATTGCAACGTACGGCTGGTGTGCTTAATTTGTCATTTTTTTATTTGTCGTTTTTTTCTATTGTGGAACACTAATTGGCCTGCTTAATTTGTTATTTGTCTTTTTTTTGTATCCAATAATACTGGTTGATGTGCTTAATTTGTTATTTGACATTTTCTTTATATTGCTGAGCACTGACTGGTGTGCTTAATTTATTGTTTATTTTTTTCTATTGTAGAGCACTGATTGGTGTATTTCGTTTGATTTTTATTATATGTTTGTTTTGTGGGACTTATATTTTATTGTTTGCTTAAAATCATAAAATCATTCCAATTACATTTTCATTCCAAAAATATTTTCACCGTGCCTTCAAGCACGGGCATACCCTAGTATATATATATATATTTGACAATCGCAGGTTATGTACTTTTGCAAACTATTTCTCTCGAAAATTATTGACATGTATCACCGCTATCTAATGAAACTCTACTACTATTTTATTAGACTTTGCTTACTATTCAATTAAACCTCACTTACTAGTCGATGAGACTCAACTTACTTTTCATTGATACTCCACTCACTATTCCATCAAACTTGATTTACAACTCAATCAAACATAACTAATACTCAATAAGACTTCATTACTAATAGAATTAAAACAAATTGTAAGTAAAGTCACAATGAATGGTCAGTAATAAATATAAATATAAATTTTAAAATAGTAAACAAAATATAGACTTGACTTAGTACTTAATAAGACACCACTTCATTTGACTTGATTTACTACTTAATTAAGTCTCACTTGTTACTTAATTATTCGACTTGACTTACTACTAAGGTCTCATTTAGCATCTAACACTTTTAGCCTAAAAGTCAAAATGTTACTAAAAAAATCAAAAAGGTCTATAACATGTACTAAAAAGTCAAAGATTTTATTTTCTTTCTACTTTTTGCACATCTTTTCGTAAAAAATTAAAAAGTCATTCCAAACATGCTAAATTTTTTTTACCTCATACTTTATTCAAAAAGTCAAAAAGTTACTAAATATCATGTTTTTAAACGAGGCCTAAATTATACCTCACTTACTATTTAATGAGACCCTACTTACTACTTTATTAGACTTTGCTTTATTACTAAATTAAACTATACTTACTAGTTAACGAGACTCTACTTACTACTCCATCAAACTTACTTTCAACTCAATCATACATGAGTACTACTCAATAAAACCCTCTTACTATTGATTGGTAAGTAGGATGAGAACAAATTGTAAGCAAAGTCCCAAAAATAACTAGTAAGTAATAAATTAGAAACATCAAATAATGTTAAAATAAAACATTATTTAAAATTTATAAAATTAAAAATATCACATAATGTTCAAACAAAAGAGAGACAGAGACATAGATAAATTAGTAACTAGAAATTGTCTTCAATTTGTAAAATCTAAATCACCATATTTCACTTACTCTTTGTGAAAAAATATGGAAAAACAATCTTGTTCATTATGTATACAAATGAGTTGAGAGTTGTTCTATATTTTCCTAATTACCTATTCTTATATAGAAACTAGGGTATGCCTGTGCCTGAAGGCACGGTGAAAATATTATTGGAATGAAAATGTAATTGGAATGATTTTATGATTTTAAGCAAACAATAAAATATAAGTCCCACAAAACAAACATATAATAAAAATCAAACGAAATACACCAATCAGTGCTCTACAATAGAAAAAAATAAACAATAAATTAAGCACACCAGTCAGTGCTCAGCAATATAAAGAAAATGTCAAATAACAAATTAAGCACATCAACCAGTATTATTGGATACAAAAAAAAGACAAATAACAAATTAAGCAGGCCAATTAGTGTTCCACAATAGAAAAAAACGACAAATAAAAAAATGACAAATTAAGCACACCAGCCGTACGTTGCAATTCAAAAAAAAATGATAAAAAATTGTGCAATAAACAATTATTTTAAAAGATTAATACGTACACAATCCAATCCTATATTAAAACCAA